CGGGCGGGCGGCGGAGGCCCGGGAGCAGTGGGCGCAGCTGGAGGAGCTGGCCGGGCAGCGGGAACGGCGCCTGCGGGAGGCCGTGGCCCTGCACCAGTTCGAGGCCGACGCCAACGACATGGAGGCCTGGATCATGGAGACGCTGCGGCGCGTGGCCGGCCCGGAGGTGGGCCACGACGAGTTCTCCACCCAGGCGCTGGCCAGGAAGCAGAGGGAGGTGGAGGACGAGATCCACAGCCACCGGCCGCTCATCGACTCCCTGCACGAGCAGGCCCTCGCCCTGCCCCCGGCCCGGGCCCGGGCCCCCCAGGTGGAGGGCCGGCTGCCCGCCATCGAGCAGCGCTACGAGGAGCTGGGGGCCCTGGCCGCCGCCCGGCGGCAGGCCCTGGAGGGGGCGCTGGCGCTGTACCGCATGTTCAGCGAGGCGGGCGCCTGCCTGCTGTGGGTGGGCGAGAAGGAGCAGTGGCTGCACGCCATGGAGATCCCGGAGAAGCTGGAGGACCTGGAGGTGGTGCAGCAGAGGTGAGGGGTCGTGGTTCCTCTCGCCGGCCCGCCGTTGGTTTGAAAGGGGGGGGGCGGGGTGGGGGGGGCGCTGCAGGTTTTGTGGGCAGGGACGAGCACGGTTCAGACCACGAGGACAGTGTCCCAGTGACGTCAACAGATGGGAGGAGATGCTCAGCTCGGAAGTGGTTCTTCTGTCCGGCCCTGGACACACCCTTCGTCTTCCGCCAGGCGGGTCGGGGAGACAGGGCGAGCGGGATGGGGGGCCCCAGTCCTTGCCAGGCTGTAACAAGGTGTCCCCCCCCTCCTCCCCCACCCCGGTTCTGTGCGTCTGCAGGTTCGAGACCCTGGAACCCGAGATGAACAACCTGGGCGCGCGCATCAGCGACGTCAACCAGGTGTCGCAGCAGCTCCTGAGCACGGACAACTGCAACAAGGAGCAGATACACAGCACCCAGGACCAGCTCAACACCAGGTGGGCACTCTGCACAACACCTTCGTACACGGCCTGCTACACACTGATCCACTGACGGGCCGCAGTGCAGCGCTCTGCACACTGGTACACACTGCACAACACCTTCTTACACAGCCTGCTACACACACTGATCCTACCCTGCTCAGTGGCACTGATCCCCTGACAAGCTGCAGTGCAGCGCTCTGGACTCTGGTACACCACTACACACTGGTCCTGCCCTGCTCAGTGGTGCTGATCCCCTGACAAGCTGCAGTGCGGTGCTCTGGACACTGGTACACCACTACACACTGGTCCTGCCCTGCTCAGTGG